TTTTTTTTTTTTTTTTTAGAGAAAGGGTCTCCTCTGTCCTCCAGGCTGGAGTATAGTGGTATGATCATGCTCACTGCATTTTCCACCTCCCTGGGCTCAGGTGATCCACCTCAACCTCCCGAGTAGCTAGAAGTACAGGTGCACATCACCACGCCTGGCTAATTTTTGTATTTTTTTGTATAGACAGGGTTTCATCATGTTGCCCAAGCTGGTCTTGAATTTCTCAGCTCAAGCAATCTGCCAGCTTGGCCTCCCAGAGTACTAGGATTAGAGATGGCAGCCACCATGCCTGGCCTCAATAAATATTATTTTAAACATGTTAAAGTCCCCTTTTATTTTAAATCATTAAGTCAAAACATGCAAAAGTAAGTTTTAATATAAGTCTCTGCTAGCAGAATACTACGAGAGTCATTAAACAGAGGCCACTGGCTTCAGGGGCATCTTTAGTCCACAGCTTCTCTTCTGGCTGTTGATACCAAATCAGAAGTTAGTGGTTGAAGTTCCAAAATTCAAACTTTTTAAATGTTGTGAATTCAATCTCACTATATTACTTAAGTGTTCCTTCTAATGGGTTATGTATAAGCCACATGTTAAAATTTCATAAAATATGTTCATTGAACTAAACAAATCAAGCTGGAGGAAATCTAAAGGAAAATTAACCTCTAAAGGAATCTTCATCTCTCATTACATTGGTAGCCAGGCTTGCACTCTCCAAACAGGAGACCCAATTGCCTTTCCTGGGAAATCTGCTAGCTCAAGGGAAAAAACAAAATGCCTGAAGAAATGACATCCAGGGGACGCCTAACAGAAAAGATGAGTCAGTGACTTTTGGATGAAGATGGTGTTTTGAACACATGCAGTTACCTCTGTTACCTCCTGAATCCAAACTAAACAACAATAAAGGGATTTTTTTAAAGGCATAAACCTGTAAGAATGAAAAGAATGAGAAGAAAGACAGAAACAACAAAATGTTGCAATTGGAAAGCAGATGAAAGAGTAGTAACTTGGTGGATCGGAGAAATCTGTATCCTCAGGTGATGTTAGAAATGCTGAAAATCAGTCTGATTTGTTCCTTAGAACTCCCAGTGATGAAGAATTAGAAGCATAAAGAGCCACAGGAAACAGGAGTGAGGGCGGTGGTAACAACAGAATAATAGTAAAAGTCTATTACAAAGTTGTCAGACCTTAAGATATTCTTACCTACTAAGAACACCAAGCAACATCCTTGCCTACCCTAGCAGAAGACTTGAGATTAATTATACAGAGGCTGAAACAGGGTCCCTGGACTGGGGAACACACAGGCACATCAGGAAGGTAGAAGCACTGAGTATTTACATAATAAATACTGAGACCATGCACCCCTCTCTCACCACTCTGCTCCCATTTTTTCCCCAATCACCTCCATTACACTAGTAGTCAGATCTGAACTTTGCAGACAGGAGACAAAATAAATCTTCCTTGGGAAATCTGGCCAGCCCAAACGAAAAAAAAAAAAAATGCCTAAAGAATCTGACCTCAGTGGCTCTGCAACAGAAAAGATGAGCCAGAAAGCCCCGCAACAATGCCCACAGTCAATGAACTCTATCTACCTGTACAAGTTTCCAGTCAGCTTTTCAGATTCCCACTTTCAAATATGAGTATTCAGTCAAGATCACCAAAAATTTGATAAGTCTCAAATACAAAAGAGAGAAATGGAATAGAAAGCAAGTGGAAGAAACAAAGACTTTGCAAAAAAAAATCAAAACTGATTATTAATATTTTAGAGATATAAAGGAGGAGAATCATTCATGACACAAGAAGAAGATGCTGTTGGAAAATAAATATGCAGTAAATAAAAAGAGTTATTGGAAATTGAAAAAATTATAGGGGTGAAAAACCTGTTAGAATAATTGGCAAACAGAGAAAGTAGAGAAAGACAACAGAGAAAAGGAAACAGCAAAGAAAAAATAATAGAATACTAGTCAGGAAGTTAACATATGAAAAAGAGAAGTGTTATGGAATGAGAGAACAAGGGAAAACAAAGATAAAGCCATGATTAATTTTTTACAATTCTCCCAAATCAAAACCCATAAATTTTGAGATTAAAAAGGCTTATACAGTGGATGAAAAGAGACTCAGACCATAGCCCATCATTGAAACATTTCAGAAACACTGAAGTAAAAAGAAGATGCTACAAAGTTCCACAGAGAAAGAGAGAAAAGGAAGATGAAAGAGGTAGGAGGAGGGAGAGAGAGAGAAAGAATGAGGAGTGGGAAGAAGGTTTCTTACAAAATATCAAGAATCAAAATTACAATTTCTTGAAGGCAACACTAGGTGGTAGGATTGAGTGGAGTGATGGCTTTAAAATTCTAAGGGAAAATGATTTACAGCTTCAAATATAATACCCAAACTAGCAGTCCATTATATTAATATATACGTAGGACATGTTCAGATGCGTAAGGTCACAAATATTCACCTTCCGTGTACACTTTTTTCAGAAAGCTACTGGAGGTTGTGCTCCACCCAAGTGAATGATTAAACCACAAGTGAGGAAACTTGCATCAGAAAACAGTGGAAGGACAGGAGAGAGAGGTGAAGGTAGCTCCCATGATCAACAGGATGGAAGAGCCAGAGAACAGCTCTGCAGCAAGTCACAGGCATAGGGTACCAGGTTCAGACCAGAGCAGCCCAGGAGGACAGATAGGCAATTTCTTCAAGAAGATGAAACTGATCGAATGTCTAATGTTTTCAGCAAAATAGGAGATTTATATAACTACAGAGTATGGGGTTGAATGTGCGATAAGTACCTAGAAAACTAAGCAGATCAACCAACAGGCAAATAAATAAGACCCACAATTATTACCACAAAGGAAAACAAAAAGTTGGCATGAAACTAAATGTGAACTTCATGACTTGGCTGCTAATAGCATTTTCATCACTGTTACATTACCACAGATTGCCTGGATGGCTCTGATGGAACTCTATCAGAGGAAGGGCAGGAAGCAGAAGAGGGGGCGAATTGGGTGGGTAGGAGGTGGAAAATATTTTAAGTCTTCACCTTCCAGAGGGATAAGTCAATAGATAATACTTTAAAAATCAAAAAGCAGCACTATAAGAAACCCATGCACACATATAGGGCGGAAACAGAGAATTTGTTGAAGGAAGTGAAACTATTCACCTCTAAGAAACAGGAAATGAAGGGAGTGTATGATGGTCTGAAGTTTTAAAATAAAAGCCCTTATAAAAGTTGTTACTTTTAAAATTATGTGCATTAATAACTCTGATAGAAATACAAATCTGAAAAGAATTAGAAATTGATGACAATGCCTATGATAACCTTTCAAAAGAATTATCTGAAGATGGAAGAGATGCATTAACATCTCTCTTTGTGTTTGTGTGTATCTGTATTTGGATGTAGGAATATCAGTGGGTTTTTATCTTTTTATAGGTAACATGGAAAAATAATGAAACCTTTAAATAGCGAATTCTATTTATGAATATATTGTGAATATGTATTTAGAGAATTCTAAGTGCTAAATTATTAGAAACTGTTCACGTCTGACATTCTGAGACAAAGCAGGCATCACAGACGAGCCTGTTTGAGGTCTCCGTTGAAGAGGTTGTCAGAACTGATCCAGGAGCCTGAGAGCCATGTGGCCAGCCTTTTACATATGTTACACCTGCCTACCTGTTGGGACATACACATACACTGTCCTAATGGGACAATTCATCTTGTGGTTTCTCTTTCACAGACTCCCAAGGAAAATACTGCCTTATTGGACACAACCAGCATATGGTTTCTGATCTTCCAACAGATCCTACCTGGAGAACTGCTGAAGAGGCAAGGCTCTGTGCAGTAGGGTTCCTATAGGAATCTCTAGAAGGAAGCTCCTAAAACCCTCTCACATTTTCTAAAGATCCATCTCATTAGTTCAAAACAATCCTAGCTCTTCTTTAGAACAGCTGAATCCAGTGGATCTCTCAGATCAGAACAACTTCTCATTTCTGGTAGAGGAATCAGTAGAAGGTAGAAGCCCATGGTGTAGCTAATCATATTAATAAAAGCTAACCTAAAGTCAGGGAGAACTTAGTGTGTGCTAGCCTGCTGGGCTAAACACTCTGTTGCATATCTCATTTAATCTTCACAATAATCATACATTGTTGCTACTATTCTGTTTCCATTACTCAGTTTGTAAGTAGTGGGGTCCAATTTTGTACTGACATTCTTAATCATTATGCTATATTAGTGGCACAGAGAACCAAACCACATTGAAAAAAATGTGCATCATGCTCAGCAGATGGATCTTGTAAGAAAATAGATTCCTTACCTGTGTGAATCCATTAAACGAACCACCAGAAGCCTAAACAGAAATGAAAATCAGATTGTGTTATTTTTTTCATTATCATTTCTGTAGGACCAGTAAATATCCATTAGACAAGTTGGAAAGTAAAGACTATCACAAGTTTTAAAATCATACAAAAGGTTGCTGTGCATGAAATAACTTAGGAAATGCAAAAGGCCACACTGCATGATTTTAAATAGGCTGACAAAAAAAGAAAGGTTAATTTTACAATGATTGCTGCTGCATTACTGCTTGGTGCTGACCCAAACCCACTTTCTCTATGAGAAGATGATTCCAGAAAAAGGCCATTAGGAGTTAAGTTGCTTGTTTTCAGGCCATTGATAGAATCTGGAAGAAGCTTTTCCAGTGTTTCTACAATGCATCATTTTGATGAACAGCAATTATGATATTTTACAGTTTCAGTGGGCCTGGGTTGAAACATTTCATGTGTTCTTATTGGAGCAGAACCATTTTAGGAACAGTAAATTAGTCTGTGCTGCTCTTGGTTTAGCACATTTTTAGTTCTTGAATAGTAAAAGTGAAAGTAGGGAGAATCAACTCAGAAAATGAGATGGTAACATAGACTCTCATTAATTCCCAACACAATCATTCTGCTTTGTGTGTGTATGTGCCTATGTTGTTGGGTTTTTTGTTGTTGTTGATGCCGCTGCTTTTTTTTTTTTTTTTTTTTTTTTTTTTTTTTTTTTTTTTTTTGGTCAACCTATTTGTGTTCGGTTTGCACAGATTTCAAGAAGTACATGACAATCTGTTAGAGAGATTAGGCCTCCTAGAAGATAGTGATGGATAATGAAGTAGGTGAGAGACATGAGGAAAAACAGAACCTACAGAAGTTTTTGGCTAGTCTATGCTACAGACCAGGGTAAGTACCTCGTCTTTGTCAGCCTCTATTTCTTGGTACAACAATCCATATCTCTGGTTAGCAATTTCATCTTCAGATAAATCTGAGTTGTTGATGTCCTGGTCTCGGGAACTAGCAGAACTCTCAGTGCTAGCATTCCAGGAGGTCCCCAAAATCAATGGTCTTGCTATCTCCTGGCTTTGTTCCCAGCAGCTAGCAATGGCTTGTTTCCTACATACACCTGCTAGTAAGTCCACCTCCAGTTCTTCCTTGTGCTCAACTACATCTAAATGTGTCCAGCTATTATCTAAGCCTTCTGTATCTCTGATAGGCCCATGGTTAATAGAATCCAGACAATTGGCAAATCCACTTGCTTGGCCATCTGGTATACCAGAGAATCCTGTTATATCCAAATTATTCAATGCTGAATCCAAGCTTGGCTGCCAGATTTGACCTGGATCTGTTCCCCAAGAGTCTATCTCTGCAATTCTTGGCAAGTTAACAGTATGACTACAGTTCTCAGTTACTGTTCTTTCAGACCCTTCTATTAGTGAACTTTCTGCCTTACATGAACATAAATCTCTTCTGTTTGCATCACTTCCCAGAGAATAATTAAGGTCAGTCCTAGACTGAGTTTCTACTTCAAGTTTTATTGATAAAACAGTCTGATTTTTATCCCTGTCACCTACAAGAGCATTTAACACAGTCTCACACTGAGTTTCTTCAGCATCTGTACTGTCTTGTGCTGGGTAATATATCATATCATGGTTGGGAGTGTCTATTGCATTTTTCTTTATGTCTTCTCTAGTGAAATCCCATCCCTCAGGGCTGCCATCTTTAATCTTAGATACAGAGTAGGTCTGGAGAGATGGATTCAAGATATCTGGGTGATTGGCAGGTTTGGCTCCAAAGCCGCCTATCATCTCACAATTTTTGATTACCTTTTGAATTCCATCATGTAGACCTTGGTCTCTGTCACTAAGTTCTTTTGCCATATCTCCTCTTTCCATGTCCTTTTCTAATAGGTCAGTTTTCTCAAAATAATTTTCATTGGTGTTTATACTTTCCTTATACCCTGCTCTTACATCTTTTCTAGTTTCCACTTCATTAATTTTTAACGTCTTATGCGCTTCCTTTCCTATGGTATTAAGATCTACCACTCTGTTTCCTGTCCTTTCACATGCTTTCTCTTCAAATTCCTCTGTACCTTCTAGTGTCTTGATATCAATAGCTCCAGTGTCTACCTTTTGACATGTCTCCACACCTGCCCACAGAGAATCTTCTATCTTCTGTTTCTCTTCCTCTTCATCTGACTTCTTCACATCTTCATGACTTTCTTTGAACAGGCCAGCTGTGTCCATGGCTGGCATGTCTGAGTCAAGTGGGTCATACGGCTGCTCCATCTCCACACAAGGAGCAAAAGTAACTCCAGCCTCAGGTGCAGGCTTTGGGGGCAGTTGTTCATTTCCACCTGGAAGGGCTGGCCCCGGGGCATGCTCACCCTGTTCAGCTACAGTGGGCCAGTCAGCAGACGAAAGCAGCCTGGTGGATAATCTTATGTCTTGCTCTGCTTCGGAGAGACATGTAGAGTCTTCTCCAAACCCGCCTGAGGTAATTTCCTGGCTGACCCTGTCTGTACTAGCGTCAGGGCCCCAAGTAAATGCACCTATATCATTTTGAGATCTTTGAATTTCTTCGGCCAACCCACTGTCTGGAGTTTCCTCCATGATCAGGTTACACAAGGAAAGACTTTCTGAAGAGTCAGTCTTTAAAGTATGCAGAAGAGCAAAGGAAAAAACAAAAACAAAAACAAAAGATGAAACAGATCATGGTAAGATTTGATGAGAAACACAAAGCTCTTCAGGCAGGTAGCACCAGTAAAACCAAATTGGAAAGTGATTACATTCATTGGCTTAAGGTTTAAATCTATGACTAGCAATGACATGGGGAAACAGTTCATTCTAGAAAATATGCTATGTATGTAATGCATATCAAATACCAAAAAAATCCAGAATGTTCTGGATATTTACCTACCGGCTGTACCAAATCAGCGCTTGTCTGTATAGGTAAAGAAAATAGTAACAATAAGGCAAGAGAAGAAAATTCACAACACACTAACACTAATCCTATGGTGTCTAGAGTCAACATTCTGCTGAAGGCTATAGCTGTTACTGGCTTAGGAACAAACTTTACAACTTGTTTTGTGATGGGAATGATTTTTGTTCCAAAATTGTTTAAGACCACTGTAGAAAAGGTATAACTAAAACCCAAAGAAAGCCTCTGTCATTTTGTAGCATCAACGAGGATGTTTTATGGCTAGTACATGACTTCTGCTTTAGCAGACTCTGAAATGTAAAGTTTCAAACACATAAGCAAGTTTGAGAACATCGGAATAAGATCAAGCACTGAGGTCAAGAAATTACACAGTAGCACACACTCTGACACAGTATCAGAAGAAAATATTCCCCAAACTCATCCTATACTTGACTCTGTCTTTGAGGTGGATGTTTAGATGGAGAATGGTCTGATATTAACCAGTCTGACTGCCTGGAGAGTTCTCTTGATGTCATTCCTCCAAATTAGCAGCCATTTTCTCCACATAACAAAAAAATCTTGCAAAGTTGAGAAGATTAATAGCTGTGACCAATTATGTTCAGAAAGCTGTTGTTTTGCATTCTTGTTATTGGTGAGCAATTATGTTCAGAAAGCTGTTGTTTTGCATTCTTGTTATTGGTACCATTCCTAGCAAGTTTGCCCTCTGAAATGTTCAAAAGCTGTTTTTAGATGATACCTTCACCCTCTCCATACCCTCCCAGCTAGGGAAGGAAAATGTGTTACAGTTCCACTAAAGATATAAATATTGGAATAACAAAAAAAAGCATTGTCTTTTTAATCTCCAAGAAAATTAACACAGAGTTGAAGTTAGAATCCAAATGACTTGAGCATCAATCCATGCATGCCTTTTTGTGAATATATGAGTAAAACTTTTCACTAGAAAAGATATAACTTAGTCATTGGTGGTTTCAATCGACATTTTTAATCTCTCTTCTTGAGCACCTTCTTTGATGATCCAAGGATCTTAAAGACTGCAGTATAAGCCCTGCAACTGCAGAAAGAAAGGACAGGCATCTTTTTGTTTTGAAGGGAGAAAGAAAGTGGCAAAGTCAATCCAGAAGTGGCATTGCCCAGGAATAGCTAGATCTATCAAACTTTCCTTTTTTTGCCTCACTATAAAAGAAGAAAACACACAACTTAAGTTGGGTTCTTAAGACCACATCACCAGGGCTTTTCTAAAACAAAGATTCTGCTGCAAGGGATATGAGGCTGTAGAGGTGTGTGACCAGTCACCTAATTTCACAGCACCAATGAGACCACCACAAAGCTCTGTTTGTGACACTTTCCCAAGTCTAAATTATGGAGTAGTTATCCTTACACTTCAGATTAGCTGAATAAACATCAATAATAATATCTACCTTTTATTGACACATACCAGACACCAGGCCACATACTCTGCAATTATCTTATTTAAACCTCACACAACCTTCTGAGGTAGGCATTGTTACCCTTATTTTACAAATGAGAAAAAATGATGCTTAGAGAGTTTTAGAAATTGCCCAAAGTCTCAAGGTTATAAGTAGAAGAGTTTGGACTAAAATCCAGGGCCATCTGGCTGTAAAGCTCAAGTTCTTATTAACTCAAGCTTCATTAAATACAATAATTTTTAAAAAATGATTCCATGTGCCAAGTAGCCCATCTCTTCCATTTTCTCATTCACACTTTCCTTGTCTTCTATTTAAGTGTGTGTGTCCTTCACTACAATAGCTCCTTTTGCCATCAACCACCACAGAAAGAAACAAAGGGCCAATTTATTGACCATTATTCAAATTATTGACCATTATTCATCCAGGAATCTGGTCCACTGTACTCTTCCTTCACCATCATCTTCAGGTTCTCATAATGCTTAGACTTTCAGTGGCCTAATGACCATCCTAGGGGTCTACATCATCATTAAATTGTATGAGTCTTCTTTCTGTTGCAAATGAAATAAAATATAACAAGGTTTCCAAATTTCTGGGGATTAAGCTACATGAAAACAGAGTTATTAGTGGCTTACCGTCCATAGGTCCCAAGGCAATGTCTGAAAGCAAATAAACAAAAATATTGTTAGTTATACAAATCTAAAATGTAAAAAAAAGCTGACGTGACAAAAGTTCTTGAAATTGTAAGCATTTTTTAAGCATTTCATACAGCACTGTTCAATAGAACTTTTTTTGGTGATGGAAATGATCCATATCTGTACTTATCCAGTACGGTAGCCCCAGTCACATGTGGCTATTGAGCACTTGAAATGTGCTAGGGTAACAAAAGCACATTTTAAATTTTACATAATTTTATTATACTTAATATAAGCTTAAATGGCATTTAGCTTTGGATAGCACAGGTCCAATCAATCTCACCTTTCACTATGTGAGTAGAAAACTATATTTGAAACATGAATGAGGTTATTTTAATACACACACATACACACACATACCTCATTAAAATGAAGTAAACGAGGTGTCCAAATTTTAGAGCTTATCACATCTTTGAGGAAATGCAGGCGCTAATCACTGCTAATGCTATTTCCTTCTCATCTCATTTGAGAGGATATAGGATGACCAGTTTGATGGTAAATGAGCCCCAGAAAAATAGTTCTTCAATATGTTAAATTAGATGATAACACACTGCTCAATGAATTGGTAATCATACAAACTGGCAGAGCACCCCCTAAGACATGAATGAATTACACTTACTACTGCTATTTTAATTATAAAGCTTATGAATCCTGGGGAGTGAGGCCAGATGGTTCAAATGACTTCCACTATGGCTGAGGGGAGTAGGGGAGACTTCTCTTTATTTCCTTTATGATTGAGAATTGCTGCTAAAGCCACATCCCGTTATGCCCATGTCTTTGTCATTAGAATGGATCCATGTTTGTGTACTTATTTTGAATCACTAAATGTGAACAGCAAACTAGAGAGCCTGGCATTCCCACCTTAAAAATATGATGGTTTCCAGTAGAGATTGCAGAGGCCTCATTTGGGTTCTGTATTATAGAAAGCGGGCCCTGAGTTCTAACTGACACCCATCCACCTGGTTCGGACCCATTCTAACCGCTCTGCACTGCCCGCCTTGCACCTATCTCCATGCAGCCTGCCTGGTCTCTTGCTTAGCATCTTCTTGTAGGACGACTAAGACAGGAGAGAACAGCTCCATGGAAAGCCACAATTTTCTGTACATGGATCTAATATATGTTTTCTGATTATCTAGATGATTTGCATTTCATTGCTTCACAGCCCCTTAAGAATCAAAGATCATAAAAGCTAGTACATGTCTCTGCATCATGCACACATCACCAGTATTTTCTTTAAAAGGAAGGCAGGAAATGTGAAATGTCATGTTTATCAATCCTCAGGATCATGAAAGGATGCGTTAGTGTGCACAGATACTGCAGAGATCACAAGATGAGGTGTTCTGCTAGCAGCAAGAACATCACTCGAAAACATGGGGTCAGGTGATGAGTAAAGGAGGTCATTTTGAGTGAAGAGGAAAGAAACCAGGCAGACCTAACAGTGCTGTGCTTTTTTTGTCATTCAGTGAAGACTTTTGTTCTTAGCAAGAGAGGAGAGGTATGATCAAAGCTGGACTGTAGGACAACTATAGTGTAGTGACTCAGTTATGGCCACCAGGAGGCTAGAGGGTTTTATTACCTGGCCCTGAGGAAGAGCACAGGGACACACACAGCTCTCACTGTGATATATGTCCTTCAGAACTAAGATTTTGAAGATTAAACCAGGTCATTTTTGTTTAATTTTGAAGAATCTCTTAGTCATGAGGCCACACACAGTTTCATGATTTATGGATTAATGTAATCATGAATTAACATGAAAGAGGTTTCTCTCCTGATTCAAACTTGTAGACAGAAATGCTATGAAATCTTACCCACTAATCATTCCAGCATCCACTGCAGAAACTTTGCTTCTGCCACAAAAGAAGTGAAGCATGGGCCAGGCGTGGTGACTCACGCCTGTAATCCCAGCACTTTGGGAGGCCAAGGCAGGTGGACCATGAGGTCAGGAGATCGAGACCATCCTGGCAAACATGGTGAAACCTCATCTCTACTAAAAATACAAAAAATTAGCCAGGTGTGGCGGTGGACACCTGCAGTCCCTGCTACTCAGGAGGCTGAGGCAGGAGAATGACATGAACCCAAGAGGCAAAGCTTCCAGTGAGCCAAGATCGCACCGCTGCACTCCAGCCTGGGTGACAGAGTAAGACTCTGCCTCAAAAAAAACAAAAAACAAAAAACAAAAAAAAAAAACATGGAGAGTAAGGCAGAGAAAATCCCGTGAATTCTGCAGGCTGTCTATACAATGAGAGAGCTCTGAGAAGAAAGTATACTCAATTATATGTATATTCACTTTGTACTTTTCTTGGTCACCAAGGTGGAATCCTCAAACTTGCTGACAATACTTCTCAAAATATTGTTTTAGAGAACATTCCAATGAATATTAAGAAAAGTGTGGTTAACATAAATTTCTGTGGTCAAACAAATTTGGGAAACTCTAAGTTAAACAAACATAAACAGTTTTTTTAATTGCAGAACTTCTCAGTCTTTAGTATTCTCAGTCTTTAATATTCATAATGCACATCATGAATCTTCTAGAAGAGAGTTAATACAGGAGGCTTCCTGGAACATTCACCTAAGAGACCCATTTTCTTTTTTTGCAAAGCATCTTTAAGGCTAGTGTCTAGACTATTAATTTCCTACTTTATTAACACCTTAGACATTTATTGTTCATATTTTACAACAGGAAGGCCTTTAGAAGTCCAATCACATTCTAGAATAAAGCATGGAATAGACATGATCCTTATTTATTGGGGTTCATATTGAGCTATTTATTCCCTAGTAGTTTACTGTGATATACCAAGAAGGCTTCAAGACCAGGGAATCAAGCTAGGTCTCAATTCCTAGGGTGAATGTTACAATACTCTTTCACTAATTCATTTGAAGCATACTCTAGCAACTTTGGTTTTGCCTAAATTCAAATGTGGGGCTCCAACCATATGCAAAGTACTCATATAAACAGTTTCTGTTTTGTCAAATTTTGAGTTAACTTCCTTCTATTAGCATAGAGAGCTGTAAACTAACTATATTTCAGAGGACCTACCCACAGGTCATTACGGCATCTACCACCAGTATCCTCTGACAGAAAATGTAACGACAGTAACTATCAGAAAGGAAGAAATGTGGAGAGGGAGGGAGTGGTGAGCAGAAAGGCTTGGGGAAGCAAGGCAACTCTCCATCAAACCATAATCACGATCACAGGAAGGGAGCTTCTTCAATGTGGAGGATGAACACAGCATCATCAAGTTCAGAACTATCAACTCTGAAAACGGCTTCTGCTGGGCCATGCTCTCATGGTCATTGCAAATACACCTTAACTTGCAAAGTATGAGGAAGGGAAGTAGAGAAAACAGCAAGAAGAGTAAACCCAAAGCCAAAAGAAAGAGCTTCATCCAGGGAAGCCATAAAATATATCCTGTAAACCTGAACAGTTCTGAGTGCAAAGTGGACACTGGTAACAATTATTCTGGGAGAGAAAACAGGAATGTATGGTTATGCCAGCTCTATGGGTAGATAAAGCTGATGGCATGGGAGGCTTAGAATAACTGATATCGATAAGGTCCCCTTTCTACCCCTCTTTCCTATTAGGAAATATCTGTCAACCAAAAATAAAAATAGATAGTAGTCATGAAAGGTATAGGGATCATTGTTTACCACACTGAATTATTGAGGTTTATGAAATATCTCCAAATATCCAAAAAGGACCTGATACCTGAGACATGGGTGAGTGGGTCACTCCAGCAGAACCTGCAGGTGTCACCTCGGGCTTGAAAGGATCGAAGTCCAGATCCAGCAAAGTCTCCTCTTTCTTCACCTCAGGGACTTCGTTCTGTTAAAACAAACAACAAAACAAAACAAAACAAAACATGTATTAGCTTGAATCTGATAAGACCATGATATAGCCCATGTATACTCTCTCTAATATTATTATTGGGTATCCCCAAAACACACTTTTATAAGCATGGTGGCTCACCAATATGTGCCCAGTCACTCAGCTAAACACAGTGAGAAGGAAATAACTAACTCTGGCCAAGTAGAACCTCAGTTGCTCTGGAATGTGTTCCAGGCTCTAGCTCTTGTCCTTTGTCTAGCTCCAAGTCCAGTCAACAAAGAGAATGTTCCAAAGATGCACCCTAATGTACTAAGATGCAAGGAGTCTCTTCTGTCAGCTCAGAGAACTCAGATCAAGAAATTACAGATGACCCAATCGATAAAATGGGTCAAGATCTGGACTTACTACAGCAATACTGCTGATGTTATTCTGGGAAGCTAAAATTTTAAAAGGAAGGTGCCATTGTGTACTGCTGACCACATCCCAACTGCCTCATTCCCTCATTGGCACCCTATCCCTTGATTTGGTTATCATTTGATCCAGTCTTCATCCATAGTATTGTTAGTTTCAGTTGTGTATGTGTATGAGTGCGGGTGAACCGGAGGGAGAGAGGAGACAGCCATGCCTCCCAACATTTGCTGCAAAATGAGCTGCCATTAATAATATTTTTGAATTAGAAAGAAGGTAAGCCAAATAAGACATAGGACAAAAGTCCTGCTCTGATAATAAAAAAAAAAAATCTGTAATACTAAACATTATCATTTGTTAATTTATTTCTGGTATCATAACACATGAAAACAATGTGGGCTTGAAATCGGCATAACCCAGGCTCAAGTTACACAGTAAAGGGTCAGGCTAAGACAAAGTCCCATAAAGTATAACACAGAAAAGGGGGTTGGGGTCAGTTTTCATACAATTTAAATTATATGTGTTTAGCATTCAATATAAAATTCTTTTTTAAAAAACTGTTGCCTAGAAATTGAAATGTCAAACCAATGGGTAAAGTATTACATAAAAACAGATTTTTGGAGACAGATTTTTGAAGAACAGGAGTTATTTTAATTAATATTCATCACAGACATTAAAAACTGAGAAATGTATGAAAAGTGAGGGCCAGACAAGTGGCTCACGCCTGTAATCCCAGCACTTTGGGAGGCCAAGGTGGGCAGATCAGGAGGTCAAGAGATTGAGACCATCCTGGCTAACATGGTGAAACCCTGTCTCTAGTAAAAATGCAAAAAAAAAGAAAAGAAAAGAAAAAAGAAAAATTAGTTGGGCATGGTGGTGCATGCCTATAGTCCCAGCTTCTTGGGAGGCTAAGGCAGGAGAATAGCTTGAACCTGGGAGGCGAATGTCACAGTGAGCTGAGATCGCGCCACGGCACTCTAGCATGGGTGACGGACCGAGGCTCCATTCCCTCCCAAAAATAAAAAATAAATAAAGAACAGCGAAGTGGTATAACCTAAATACTTTCCTTAGCATATCCGTACTCATTGCAGAAGAAAGCTGCTAATATATCATGCTATTAGCCTTGCGTTTTCTATTTTGTAGCATAGTAACTCCCCATATATACTTTTAAAAAAATTTCACAAGGATAATGCCCTTCTGAGAGCTGCACTTTCTTCACTAATTACAATCACAAAACTATCAACCGATTTCCTATTCAAAATATGCATAAGCTTTGTTTTTCCCCAACTTTTATGTTGGTACAAATTATATTTTTAAAATTTAGTAAATGTATTCTACTTGGAATATGATAGGCACTGTTTGAAGAACTTTACACATACGGACATTAGCTCAAGTTAACAACACACTTTGGTGCAGTCTAATATTGACAACACTTTATTGCCTTTAAAGCATTTATCTTGCCATCTTCTCCAAACTGCATTGTACTTGCCTTTTCAAATATAATCCACAAAAAATTGAGGGAGATATGGCAGCAATTCCCCATTTGGCAGAATGAATAGAATTGGCTGAATGGTGATCTGTTGTCATGGCCCCCAGCTGCCATGCAGCAGAGGTAAGACTGCAGCTGGTGCCTCTGACTCCAAGGCCTGCCAGGCTGCTGCTGATGCCTCAGACCCAAGGTTCTCAATTAGGAACCCCAAGAATCTGCAGAGGAATTCTCAAAGTTCTGCAAGTTCTCCATAAAATTTTAGGTCATGTGAATATATTCATTATTTCCCTTTAAGTCGAATGAATCCCCTTAAGGAAGCTCAAATGGGAATTTAGAGATGAAGGATGAAATGAGGCATCAGACTATAATGGGCTATGCTCAGACTTTGATTGAGATCAATTTGTGTCTATACCCCAATATTACCACTTGCTAGCTGTCTCTCCCTGGCCAATTAATTGAGCTTCTTTGAGCCTTGGTTTCTTCGTGAATAAAATGGGATTAATAAGACCTAATAGGATTACCATGAGTAATAAAGATGATAAATGTATATGTACATAATAGCTAGGAAATACTCAAAATGGAAATGGAAGCTAATGTTATTGATTATCATTAGCAACAATGCATACATGTGATTATGGTTTGGCTCTGTGTCCCCACCCAAATATCATCTCAAATTGTAATCCCCATGTGTGAAGGGAGGGACCTGGTGGGAGGTGACTGGATCATGGGGGTAGTTTCCCCGATGTTGTTCTCACAATAGTGAGTGAGTTCTTGTGAGAGTTGATGGTTTTAAAGTGTGGCACTTCCCCCCTTGCTGTGTCTCTCCTGCCACCATTTAAGATGTGTCTTGCTTCCCTTTCACCTTCTGCCATGATTGAAAGTTTCCGGAGGCCTCCCCAGTCATGCGGAACTGTGAGTCAATTAAACCTTTTTTCTTTGTAAATGACCCAGTCTCAGGTGATTCTTTATAGCAGTGTGAAAATGGACTAATACAACATGTGAATACATAAAATTACTGTCATCAAATATCCATAATGCCAATTTGACTGCCTTCAAAATATGTAGCTGGTTTTTTCAGACTCAACTTCTACTTAGCTTTGCCCTCTTACTCTTGAGAATTATCACTTAAAGTACTCATGTCAAAGAATATTCTGGTAAAGCTACAAAAATAGCAAAGGATTTTGCCTGTTTACGTAGTATTCTTTTTTTAAAAGGGCAAGAATGTACTCACAACTCTGTCACTACATGTTGAAACACAGTAAAGTATAATTTTCCTTAACAAGACAAATGAATCCTGTACACCTTCATCACAATTAGAGTACATATGGTATGGTCTCAACATTCTTAGCTTTTTAGGAACTTGATCATAAGTACTGCTTTACCATCAGAAAACTACAAGGGGTGACTTGGAATGTGCTCCTAAGAAAGGAGACCAGCTGTGGAAACCACAGTAGCGAAAAATCTTCCAATAGGAAAATATTGCCAATTGTAATAATCTGTGCTATGTTTCATAAGGTGTCTTCTACTTGGGACATCTAAGTTTATTAGCAAGGTAGTGGACCTCTTCCAGTGCAGATGAGCAATTTGAGCATAATCTGTATGCCTAGCCTTGACACAGCTTCTTGATAGATGGATTTTACTTCCCCATCCCTTACGTGGGGTTGACCATATGTCATGCTTTAGCTAATGGATATAAGTTAATGTAATGCAAACCAAGGCTGGAAATATGCTTTCATAGTTGGTTGGTTGGTTTGCATTCCTGCCATTCACCATGAAAAGTACAGCCTTGCGTAGCTGCTAGTCCGAAAAGAATGAGACACATGCAGCACATGTGGGCCAATCATAATATAATTTTCTAATCAGTGTTAAAGACAAATTCACAAAAAGAACCAGAGAAAAGAAGACATTTCACTGACAGAGGAACAACATGAAGGTAGCAGTAGATTTCTCACCAGAAATAATGAAGCAAAAAGACAGTGAGGAAAGTACTAAGAAAAAGAAACTGTCAACTTAGAATTACACGCCTCTTGATAATACTTTTTAAAATAAAAATTCAATGAAGATTTTCAGACAAACAAAATCAGAAAGAATACATCACCATTATCTACACACTACAACTAATGTGAAAGATATCTTTCAGGCAAGGGAAAACGATAACAGAAATATGCATCTACACAAAGGAGGAGAACCAGAAATACTAACTGCCTAGGTAACTATATATGAGTTTTTATTATTTAAATCTTTTAAAAAGATAATTGGCTGCTTATACAAAAATCATAACAAAGTAATGTGAAGTTTATAATGTAGATAAAATAAAATCCATGAAAACAATTGCACAAAAACAGAAGTGGGGAAATGAGAGTATATTATTATTAGATTTTTATACTGTACCTTAAATGACTTTACATAATTGAAAGTTAGACTGTGATAAATTAAAATATATACTAAAACCCTAAAGTAACCACTAAAATGATAAAACAATGTTATAGCTAATAAGCAAATAAAGAAAATTAAAGATAAAAATAAAAATGTTCAATTAATACAAAAGAAAGCAGAAAAGAAGGTTAAATGAGCAGGGAGAAAATGGAAAACAAGTGATCAATGTGCTAGAGTTAAACTTCATCATATGAATAATAACCTTAAATGAAAATGGTCTAAATCATGCAATTAAAAGGCAGAGATTATCTAATTATACAGAAAAGCAAGACCCAACTAGATACTGTCCAGAAGAAACTAATTTGAAATATGTAGACACAAATAGGTTCAAAGTAAAAGGACATAAAGGATACACCATGCCAATCTAACAAAACAAAAGCTGTAATAATTACATTAACAATAAAAAAGTAGATTTCAAATCAAAGAATATTATCATGGATAAAGAGGATCATTGCCTAAACATTTATGCACTCAATTACACAGCTTCAACATAAAGCAAAAACCAAGAGAGCTGTAAAAAAAAAAAAAAATTAAAAAGCACACACACTTTTATAGGAAAGACTTTAATGTTCCTCTTTCAATAATTGAAAGAACAAATGGAGAGAAAATGAGCAATGGTATAAAAAATTTAGATAACACTATGACTAAATTTGACCTAATTTAT